TTAAGGCTCAATGTCAAGAAGACAAAGATTCTTACCACTGGACCAATTGGCAGCCTCAGGATGGATGGTGAAGTGATTGAAATTGTTCACAGCTTCAGTTTGTTTGGCTCCGCAGTCAACACTCTCAGCACCAGTAGCCAGGAAATTAAAAGATGTATTGCCATGGGAAAGTCTGCTGTTAGGGACTCTCCAAAGTACTGAAGAGCAATGATGTCTCTCTGGAGACTAAGGTGAGTCTGATACAGGCCATGGTCTTCGCAATCTCCTGTTATGCATCAGAGAACTGGACAATGAGTAGTGAGGATAGGAAGAGAATTGAGGCCTTTGAGCTGTGGTGCTGGAGAAGAGTTGAGGGTACCAGCAACTGCTAGGAAAACAAATAGATTCATCCTGGAAAGGGTCAAACTGGGCGGCTCCCTGGAGGCAAAGATTCTGAGGCTCCGTCTAACATACTTTGGACATATTGTAAGGAGTGACCAGTCCTTGGAGGGGGACATCATGCTTGGTAGGGTGGAGTGACAGTGCAGGAGGGGAAGGCCCTCTATGAGGTGAATTGCTTCAGTGACTGGGGCTATTGGGATGGGTCTATTGGAGATGGTGCGATTGGCACAGGAAAGAGCGGACTTTAGGGCTATTGTACGTAGGGTCACTATGAATCGCAAACAACTCAATGGCACATAACAATAACAACAACATGCAACCATTCTACCTCTATTTTTCATTCCATTTTTCATATGTGATTGTCTGATTCAAAGTAGCCTTTAACAGTCTATTTCATCTCACTAGTGCTTGAAATGTCAATGTTACTCACTCCATTTTATTTTTTACAACTTCTAATATTCCTAAATACATACTACATGTATACCACATTACCATTTTCAAGGATGTTAGCAACTATTTACCCTCATTTTAATTGACTGCTAATTTGTAATCTACCTCTAACACAGTATTCCTTTATTTTCATCGCAGTCAGTCGCTTGTCTTGGGCTCATGCGCAGAGTGCTTGTCGGAGCTGGTCCTGTTGTATACTGTGATTTCCGCTAAGTTATTGGGAACTTTTTCAGTAGACTAGTGAAGGCTTCGTGTGCGCAGATATTGTTGTCGTATGAAGTTGAACACGGCAGAAGAAGAAGACTACATGTCTGATTCCTTTGTTAATGTCCAGCAAGATGTTAGGCCAGGCTTACCAATGCTGAGGCAAGTACGAGAAGCTCGTCGAAAAGAAGAAAAACAACAAGAAGCTAATTTGAAAAATAGGCAGAAGAGTTTAAAACAGGAAGAACAAGAAAGACGTGACATTGGGTTGAAGAATGCACTAGGTTGTGAAAACAGAGGGTTTGCTTTGCTCCAAAAGATGGGATATAGGAGCGGCCAGGCTCTTGGCAAGAGTGGAGATGGTATTGTTGAACCAATTCCACTCACTGTCAAAACAGGCAAAGGTGGTATTGGTCACGAGACATCATTAAAACGAAAAGCAGAAGAAAGATTAGAAAGCTACAAAAGAAAAGTTCACATGAAAAACCAAGCCCAAGAAAATGCTGCAGAACAGTTTCGAATGCGCCTTAAAAATAAGCAAGATGAAATGAAGCTAGAAGGAGATCTCAAAAGAAGCCAACGAGCCTGTCAGCAGTTAGATAATCAGAAGAATATTCAAATTCCCAGAGAGTCATGGTACTGGTTAAGGCCGGAAGAGGAGAGTGAAGAGGAAGAAGAAAAAGAAGATGAAGATGAATATAAGAGTGAAGATTTAAGTGTACTGGAAAAGTTACAAATACTGACTGATTATTTAAGAGAAGAACATTTGTATTACATAAGGTTTTCTGAGATCTACTATTTCAGAAGTGGTTGGCTAATCTTACTTCCTAGTCTGTCTTTAGAGGCAATATGTATTATTTATTTGAAAGGGTAGAGTTATGTCAAGTGTTGTACATATGAATTTTTTAGAATTTGTTAGATGTTGTTAATGAACGGCAATCTATTTTCCAGGGATTATTTCAATGGCCTAAAACCTTCTACAGATGGAATTATTACTATACTTGACAAAATGCTAAAGCTATACAACTCTTTTTCATGGCTGATATAAACTTTAATTTGTACATTTTCCTGTAATTATTAAAATGTATTAGTACGTTTATACATTCTGTTGTAGCCACTTTTTAATGATCTTCAGGAGGATTTTGCTTTTATCTGATATTAATGATATAATTCAATAGTTTCCACATTCTGTGGGATCGTCTTTCTTGGAAAAGGGAACACATATGAAGCTCTTCCAATACATTTGCCTCCAAATTTCTTGGCATACAAAGACTGGTGAGTACATCCAAGGCTGTATCTGTTGACTGAAACAAATCAATTCGTATCTCATCAATTTCTGAGACCTTGTTTTTTTGCCAATGCCTTCAATGCAGCATCCACTTCCTTCTTCACTACCACTGGCTCCTGTTCATATGATACTTCATGAAATTTTTCAGTGTTAATCAGTTCTTTCCAGTACAGTACCTCTTTGTAGTTCCTCCATCTTCTTTTGATGCTTTCTAGGTCATTCAATATGTGGAAAATTGGCAAATGAGAGGAAGACTCTTGACAAGGCAGATTAACATAGTGACTCCTGCAATGGGCTCTTTAGTCAGAAAATATGAGAATGGAACAGGATAGAACAGGGTTCAGGTCTGTTGTTCATAGGGTCGTTACAAGTTGTATTTGATAGCACCTAACAACAATAATGAAAACAACAAGTTTGTATGTAATATTTCTAATCCTCAATGGCAAATAAAGATTAGATTTATAAGAAAAATAAAAGAAAAATTACAAATTATCAGTAATTGATATAATTACTTTTTTATAATATGGAAGTGAAAATTAAAGGTTTTTTCTTTAAAAAAACCTTATTTCTTATATTATTTGATTGAACATTTATGGTGCAACTTGCTTTTCCATTAAATAATTCATGTTTACTTTGTTTTATGACATTCACTGCAGCCTTTACAATATAAAAGTAATATCTCCATTCCCTCCTTAATATTACCTTTTCCATTAATTCTTTTTTCTTAAACTTTTTTATTTTTTGAGTTTTTCCTTGGGAAAATGCTGTTATTTTTTCTCACAGAGTTTATTGTTCTACGGAGTACACAACTCCTTGGTATTATTGTTCATGTGTATATGCTTGTCTGTAGGTTGAAAGATGCACCTCAAATAGTCACTTGTAACCATGCTACGCACCAAAGTAGGCTATAAAGCACTGTCTGTTTAGACTCCTATGCCAGCTGACTGATTTCCCACTCTCTGCCCTCATCCCAAAGACTATTCCCCAGAGACCCAAAATTAAATCACACATTCCCTCAAGATGTTTGTTTATGCTTAAAATGTGTATATAACTTTACCATCTGCTTACTATATTTGATATATTTATAGCATATGCAACTATGTATTTGGGAATATCATCTTCCAATACTATATATGCTTATAAATGTAGTCCCTGTCACCTTTTCATATATGTTCCCCTTTCTTGTGACTATGCATTGACTTATAGGCTAATTCTCACTACTAATGAGAATGAAAGATTCTGTGTGAATGACAGTTGAATTTAGTTGTGTAACTATTACGAACTTCTTGTTTTCTTTAGAGATACTGTGCTTTATGGTATATTCACTCCCCTTTCATATACATTAGTACCTATCTATTTTTGTTGTTGTTGATTGCCATCGAGTCAAGCACGACTCATAAAAACTCTATGAACAAAAAAACCTAATGTCTTTCCCTAACTGTTGTCATAACATTAATATAACATATAAGCAAGATTCTGCTAAGAATTATCCAAAAGCCACTGGAATAGCACATCCACAGAGAACTGCCAGATGTGAGTCTAGGTTTAGAAGAGGTTGTGATACTAGAGATATTATAGCTAAAGTTAGATGGATTTTGATTGAAAGCAGAGAATACCAGAGGAATGTCTATCTGTGTTTCCTTGACTATGAAAATGCCTTCAACTTTTTAGATCACAATTATTGCGGCTAACTGTGAGAAGAATGAAAACCCAGAACACTTGATTGTGTTATTAAAAATTTATACTTGGTAAAAGAGGGAGTCATCAGAGCAAGGAAACATTACATGGTTTAAAATAAGGAAGAGTGTAGGCCAGGAATGTGTTCTATTTCTATATGTAGAACAGACTATCCGGGAGGCTGGGCTCTATGAGGGGGAAATTGGCATCAGGATTTGAGGAAGCCTCATCAAAAACTTGCATTATGCGGATGACACAACCTTGCTTGCTAAAACTGAGGAGGAGCTGAAGCACTTGCTGCAGAAGGCTACAAACTTGCAGCCTTCAATATGGATTGAAGCTAGCATTAAGAAGACAAAGATTCTCTCCATTCTGCCATTCTCACAATTGGCAGTATCAAGATAGAAGGTGAAAAGATTATTAACAGCTTTAGTTTGCTTGATTCCACAATCAATACTCTTGGCACCAGCAGTCAGGAAATCAAAGATGAATTGTATTGGGAATGTCTCTTGTCAAGGACATCTCTAGAGTACTAAAGAACAATTATGTCAGTCTGGAGACCAAGGTATGCCTGATCCAGGCCATAGTCTTCACAATTACGTGCTATGTATCAGAAAGCTGGATAATGACTAGGGATAACAGAAGGAGAATTGATGCCTTTGAGCTGTGGGCATGCTGAAAGGAGAGAAAAGTCCTTGGAAAGGGACATTATGCTTGGGAAGCTGAAGGAACAGTGCAGGAAAGGAAGACCCTGAATGAGGTGGATTGACTCCTGTGATTGGAGTAATAGGAATAGGTACATGAGAGAAGACAGTAAAGTTGGCTCAGGATAGAGCATGGTTCAGAGCTGTTGTACATAGAGTCAATATGAGTTGCAGTTGACTTGAGGGCACATAACAACATTATCTAATAGTTTTCCCTCCCCTCCTCTCCTACTCCTGGTAACAATCAAAGAATGTTTCTTACTATATGTAAATTTTCCCATGACTTTTTATAATAGTGGACTTACTTTCTTTGTCCTTTTATGATTGACTTATTTCTCTCTAAATAATGTCCTCCATACATGCTTACTGAGCTCTAATGGTTTAGTGTTGGAAGCAGGAGTGGCATCCATTTCCTAAACAACATGCTTCTGTAAATTCTATGACTTTTGATAAATTATGATATTACTAGAAAGGCTTCAGGCTTTTTGTTCATAGGGTCACTATGAATTGTGTTCTACTCCATGGCGATCAACAACACAACAATGGCCTAGTGGGTAAAGTGCTGCACTGCCAACTCAAAAGCATACAGTTCTAATCAACCAGTTGTTCTATAAGTAATCTCCAGGTTAATTGGACAATCTCCAGTATCATTCACAGCCTACATAAACCTGCTGGAGAGTAGCTTTGACTTCCAACTTAATCGATCACAACAAGAATGTTTATGATACAGTTTATCTAGTCATCTGTTAATGGTACTTAGGTTATTTCCATGTCTTTTCTATTGTGAAAAAGTTTGTCATGAACATGGGTGTATGTAAATCTGTTGGTACTGCAGCTCTTTATTTCTTTAGGGAAGATGTCTAGCAATGAGACTGAGAGATCACATGGTATTTCTATTTGCAAATATTTAAATAAATTTCATATCATTCTGCACAGAGGAGATTATGTGTGTGTGTGTGTGTGTGTGTGTGTGTATTTCATTAAACAATGTATGAGAAGGAGCATGTGGTGATGAAGGAAGAACTTAAAGCTGCTCTGAAAGAATTGGCAAAAAACAAGATCCCAGGAATTGATGGCATACCAATTGACATATTTCAACAAACAAACACTTCCCTGGATGTGCTCACTAAGTTGTGCAAAGAAAACAGGAGAACAACCACCTGGCAAATTGACTGGAAAAGATCTGTATCTGTTGTCATCCTAAGGAAAGATGATCGGAAATTATTGAACAATATCATTGTTATCACATGAAAGCAAGATTCTGCTGAAGATTATAAAAAATGACTGAAATGGCACATCAACAGAGAGAACTCCCTGAAGTGCAAGCTGGGTTTAGAAGAGGCTGTGGCACTAGAGATATTATAGCTAATGGATCTTTGCAGAAAGCAGAGAGGACCGGAAGAATGTCTATCTGTGTTTTATTGACTCTGCAAAGGTGTTTCACTGTGTGGATCACAACAAACTGTGGCTGACTCTGAGAAGAATGGGAATCCCAGGACACTTAATTCTGTTTATGTGAAGCCTATACTTGGATCAGGAGACAATCATCAGAACAGAGCAAGGAAACACTGTATGGTTCAAAATTGAGAACAGTGTATGCCGGGGATGTGTCCTATCTCCATATCTTTTCAATCTATATGCAGAAAAGATTATCCAGGAGGCTGGGCTCTATGAGAAGAAATGTGGCATCAGGATTGGAGACAGATGCATCAACAATCTCTGTTATGCAGATGATACAACCTTGCTTATTGAAGCTGAGGAGGACCAGAAGCTCTTGTGGCTGAAGGTCAAGGACTGCAGCCTTCAATATGTGAAGCTCACAGATTCTACCACTGGGTCAATTGGCAGCATCATGATAAATGGTGAAGAGATTGAGATTGTTAACAGCTTAGTTTGCTTGGCTCCACAATCAATACTCTTGAGACCAGCAGCCAGGAAAGTAAAAGGCAGATTGCATTGGGAAAGTCTGCTGTCAAAGACCAATCCAAAGTACTGAAGAGTAATGATGTCTGTCTGGAGACTAGGGTGTGCCTGATCCAGACCATAGTCTTTGCAATTACTTGTTATACATCAGAAACCTGAATAGTGCTAGAAATAACAGAAGGAGAATTGATGCCTTAGAGCTCTGGTACTGGATAAG